TGTAGTTGAGAAAGAGGCATGGGAGTGGCCGCAGCTACCGAGTTTGCCATCCACTGAGCTTGTTCCTGAAGCAATGACAGGGACAGCAGCCTTCAGTTTGTAAGCCCAGAGGATCAACTCAAATGGGAGGCACAAACTGGCCCTGTTCCCCCTTGACCGTAGGTTTGGTCAGCTGTTCAAACCATCCCTAGTAAATCTGTCAGGAGTGGAGAGATGCGGAGTAGCCCCATGGAAATATACGAAGATGAGGAAGCTCGCTGGTTCAGGGAGAAACAGCTGTAGAGTATGGAGAGCTAGCTGAGGTGATGCCCCGCATCCACGCCAGTCTACCCAGCATTGCTCACTGCTCACCTTTAGCATCCCCTCGGTTGTGACATCTGAGATCACTGACACTTGGCTTGGAAGGAACAGTTTTGAACCTACCGACATCTGCGGAAATGTTTCATTAAATGAGTGTTTTCAGTTTTTTCGAGACAGGGTTTCTCTATAGTTTTGGAGCCTGTTCTGGAACTCACTTTGTAGACCAGGCTGGCCTCAAGAGAGAGATCCTCCTGTCTCTGTTGGGATTAAAGGCAGGTGCCACCTCTACCCAGCAAACTGAGTGTTTTAATGCTATTCTCTGGATGTCTTAGAAAAAGACAAGCAGTTTTAAAAACTTAAACTTTTTCAAAAGGTATCCTGGAGAGATGGTACAAACACCCCTCAAAGTGCTAAGGTTTATCTCAATACCTGGAGTGGGCTACCTCCCTATGAGTTGTTGGCCAGTAAGAACCCTGAGGTCCCACAAAATATTAAATAAAGTAAAAATGATTTGGGCACTGTTGCTGACTACATGCCAGAAGATGAAAACAAGACCCCATTGCTGAAGATGCTAGTTCAGGAAAGAACAGAGAGCAGCCTCGACAGGGACAGATGGTCCTCTGATCAGAGCAACTGAAGGACTCCAGTCTCCCCTGGGATGAAGACTGTGTTCAGGCGCAGGGGCTTGGACTTCCTAGGGCAGAAGAGGGGGCTCTGGGAGGAAGGTTTATGTGTGGATGTTCTCCACAGTTTCCTGAATGATGCCAGCAAACGTTCTTACTGTGTTGGCTTTCCTGTCCGGCAGGTGTGCTTATCGGTACACTAAATCAGGGGGCTCTCAGCTCTCTGAGGTTTCTTGTTTTAGGGTGTTAACAAAGGCATTGCATGCTTTGGTTGCTGGACACAGAGAAATATAGTCGGGACTTGGCTGGGAGCTCCTACTGTACTGACAGGCTGTCGTAATGCTGGAAGGTGCTCTGTAGGCACCAACAGTCCTGATCAGCTATGGGTTTTAGACGTTCATCCCTAGGAGGATACTGAGTGTGAAGGTGCGTACGGGCTTCCTTTTTATTCTAGTCAGACCAGCATCCTGTTCCATTCTATCCAGGAAACCTTGGTAGTCATGGTAAAGGAGCCGGGTACCAGTCTGATGAGGACACAGTATCTGTTGGAGTTCTTTAGGACTGTAGTATGTGCGCAAGGAGTTAACCCCGAGGAGCATGCCCACCAGGTGTCCTTGTGGGGCATTAAGTACTCTGCAGTGGTTGTGAGGGATAAGGCGAATTGCAAAGAAAAGCCTTGGCAGTGGGAACTTTACCTATGCAAAGCCCCTGTCCTGTCACTTGTTCCAGGGTTAGAGAGAGTGGTGACTGCCAGCGACATTCATCAGACTTAGCCACTTCTTGCATAAGACCCTGGACAGCAATTCCCTCATGATAAGGGGGAGCTGCATCATAACAGAGCCAACAAGAGTTGGTTAGGGTCGGTCCTGAGGAGTTTAGAACCATGTAAGTCTTAGTCAGAAGCTCCCGGAAGGGAAGCTGATCTGGTGCCGAAGGCTTGGTAACAGCTAAAGCATCTGGGGCTGGTGTTTTAGGTGGAAGTGTGGTTACAGTCAGTTGTTGGGGCACTGGTCTCTTTGTGGGTGGGGGAGTAGGATTTGGGTGCAGTGCTTTATTAGGACCTATTATTGCTGGTTTTATTGGCTCTATCTTAAGCCAAATTACAAGGGTGGATGGGACATGTCCCCCGTATCTATGGTATATTACACTCCAGCATAGGCCTGATGACCACTATGTGTCCCATCTTCCCTGATCAGTGAAAGTAAATTTTATCTGGTCTAAGTCACCTGTCCTGCAGGGCTTGTCAGGCTGAGGAAGAGGTGGGCTGTACCAGATTGGTCTTACATATTTAAAAGTGTCTAAGTCTGATCTACTTACACACTATTTCTATTCCCCATCATTATAGGTGACACAGTCCCAACTTTTGCAGAAAGAGGATTCCAGGCCTCCGCACTAATTCAGATGTGACCTGAGCATACGTAAAAACCATACTTCCTGGCCTCCTTCTGGCCTGTTGCTCTATAGACATGGTTCAGGTCACGAAAGCAGAGATATAGGCCAGGCCACCAGGTGTTCAATGGGGCCACACGGGTAGTCTGGTACAGAGTTTTGTATAATTCTCCATCCATGAGGACTCAAGTCAGTTTAAAGGGTCTGTGGGGGTTAACTTTAGCAGGAGCAGAGGGAACCAGCATCAGCATCAACAGGATCAGGAATGACGCTTGAGCCGGACCTCTAGGGGTTGGTGGGGTGTTTGGATGCCTAGCACAAAATAGAGCTGGTTTTGTCCCTTCAGATATAAACAAACTTCACAGATTCTGAAAACCGAAGCTCGAAGACTCCCCAGGCTCCTCCCAAGGATATAAAAACAGAAAGGACTGCGAGGAAGGAGACTCTAGTATGTTGAGGTGCCTGCGAGTCATGCAGCGGGAGCCCAGGGTTCCAATTCTCATGAACTGTCACCCACACTGGGGTGGGCTTGGGTACTGCAGCTGCCTTTAAATCTGAGATCCTGTATGTAACCCCTCACCCATACTCCTTTAAGTTACCCCAATTTGGTTCATAAAATCAGATATGGTGGTATTGCTGCTTTGATCTGTTGTGAGTTCCTCATCTGCAGTGAGTAGACATTTGTTCGTATCTCCCCAGAACTCATGTCACACAACATGAGTGTGTGTGCATATGTTTGTACATGTGTGCATGCATATGTGTGTGCATACATGCATGTGTGTGTGGTGTTATTCCTAATTATTCTGTAATCATATCAGTCTGGCTTCTACCCACCACACTACAACACTGTTCTGGGCCAGGTCACGTTCTAGGTGTGGTTTCACAGAAATAGATTGATTTATGCCAAGCGTACCAGTGATCTCAGCACTTTGGAGGAGGAAGCCGAAAGGTCAGGAGTTCATGGTTAGTCTAAGGCATAGGAGACCCTGTCTAACACTCTATACCCCAAACAAGGATTTATCCACCCATTCATTCTTATAAGGTAATATCACAAGCTCTGAGGTCTTCTGGAAAATTCAACAATTATTTCTCCACTTTCCTCTTGCCCAGTCTCCTAGCAACAAGCGACCTGATTGTCCATTCCCTTCTTGGAGCTCACCTCTTCATTTTAACAGTCTGAGTCTTAAATTCCCCAGACACTGGAGAGTTGCAAATCTGAGTGCTCCTGGAGGGTGATGGGGCCTTGAAAGGAGGGGCCTAGATGGGTTTCGGTTGTTAAGGGAGTACCCTTGAAGGATCTTAGCAAATTCTAGACACTTCCTTGACTGTTTTGACTCCCTGGTCATGAGGTGAGCATTTTTCTTCTAGCATGTACACCTACCGAGATGGCCCCAAAGCAGAGGGACTAGGATCTCCCAAAACCACGAGCCAACATAAAGTACTTCACTTGTTAGAATAATGAAAAAGTTGATGCAACACACACTGAATAATCTCTGTTGTTTCCACCTCTTTTTGAAAAACTTCTGAACCTTAGGGCACCTAAGAGCCCACATCCCTGTCCTTTTCCAACTCTATCCTTTGTTAGCCGTGGCTCAGACATCCCTGTGCCGGTGACTTCCAGGTACACACCCTTCAGTGATCACTATCCCTGGATGCTTAATGGGCACCTAAACATTGTTTCCAGATCAGAACCCCCAAATCTGTTAGTTCCCTAAAAACAAACAAACAAACAAAACAAAACAAAACAAAAACCCTCTGTCTACAGCTTCTTTTTGACACTTCTCACTCATTAAACCTCTGCCTTACTCTTCTCCAGTGACCTCGGGGCACAGCCAATTTCCCCAGCGGGAAACCGTCCTCCCTAGACGGTTTTTAAAACACCCGTTTTAAAAAGACACAATATTTTTAATTTGTTGTTGAGATTTTCACATACGCATACAATGTATTTTGCTCATATCCACCCCTATCTCCCCTCTCCAACTCTCCCTGAATTTCCCCCATGCCGCCTCCCAACTTCACATTCTCTTACTTTTTAACAATAACCCACTGAGTCCAATTAGTGCTGCCCACACACGCGTACCCTCGGTTCACCTGTCACCTCCTCTGGGTCTCTGAGGCCTTTTCTCTCCATTCCAATGTGCCAGGCTCTCTTATCAGCAATGTCTGATGGGTTTCCCCAGCATTCATTATCATCTAAATTTCTAATGCGTGCTGCATTTGAGTGTTTCTCCCCCTTGTACTTGACTTTAATAAGCATCCAGGCAAAGGATGCTTGAGTCTTGCCTGAATCTGTGTCGGCAGCATCTAACAGTCCTGGCACAGTGATGGCTCTCAAAAGAAGGAATGCATGTAGCCGAAGAAGAGTTATAGGGACAGGGGGAGTGGGTCCCGCACATACATTCAAACCTAAGCCGGCTCATAAATAAATTCAATAGCTGTACTCCACAACCCACTTCCATCTCGAGCTTGCCCTGGGGACCCAAGTCACTCCCCTGTCCCAAGTGCCACTCATTGTCACTCCAGGTTTCAGCCTCTCAACGCAGCTCCTCCCTGCCCTAATTCTGGTGGTGCTGTTGCTGGTTGGCAATGAAACCAAAAAGGAATTCAGCGGCAGCAAACACGTTTCCCCTTAACCTGGCATGGTGGGCGGGGCTGTCTGAGGTAGAGTCACCCAGTCTGGTATTCGTTCACCTGGCAGTGGAGAGTCTGACTGGTTAGGAGTATGACTAAATTCAGGGTGAGAGTATCCACCGGGGAGGCCTTTGGGGCTGGCACCTGGGACAAGGTGTCTGTCAGCATCGTGGGAACCCAGGGAGAGAGCCCTTTAGTGCCTTTGGACCGTCTGGGCAAGGAGTTCACTGCCGGAGCTGTGAGTGTTTGGGGGAGCGGGCAGTGGCGATGGTGAAGGAGGGGGCCAGAGGGACCACCCTCGGCACACTAAACAGCCCTTCCTAGGAAGAGGACTTCGAGGTGACGCTCCCCCAGGATGTTGGCGCTGTGCTGATGCTGCGCGTACACAAGGAACCCCCGAAGCTGCCTCTCCCGCTTGGGTCCCTCCGATCTGACGCCTGGTTCTGCCGCTGGTTCCAGCTAGAGTGGCTTCCCGGGGCTGCACTCCGCTTCCCGTGCTATCAGTGGCTGGAAGGCGAGGGGGACCTGGTGCTGCGAGAGGGAGCAGGTGAGGAGGCCAAAGAACTGACTGGGGCTGCTGCAGGGGCAAAGCAGTGTGGAGGAGGCTAAGGTTGGGACTGGAGAGGCGAACTGGTGTGAACACCAGGAAGGGGCAGAGGTGGAAGGGGGGAAGGGGAACTACCCAGGCGGCAGCAGCCTGCTGCTGAGAAACGCACCCGGGGTGAGGGGACCAGTGGGTGGGCGATAATAGAAGCGGGAACGTTTGGAGCCAGAGGTCAGGTGAGTATCATTTCAATCCACGTCCCCACCCACAGCCAAGGTCTCCCAAGAAGACCACCACCCTGCGCTCCAGCACCAGCGTCAAGAGGAGCTGAAGGCCAGGAAGGAGATGTACAGGTGAGGAGGGAGCTAGCCATTCTTACAGGAGGACTCACTTAGGAGATGGGAAGTCGCCAGAACAAGGACTAATAACATTGAGCCTACACCCCAGGCCCAGCAGCGTTAGCAACAGTGGGTACCTGCGACTTGCAGACCCTCTGACTCTAAACTTGTGGTTGAGCCGGGAAACTCTTACCAAGCCTTTCGGGTGACTCTGGCACCCACTCAACCTTGAAAACTACCACTCTATTAGCCGTGCCCTGTGGCTTACTCCTTGTCCACCTTCCTTTGAGGCTGTTGTTTTGTTTCTCTCTTTCTCTAGTATGTTGGGTGCTTGCATTCTCTCATAAACACAGGCGGAACTCCAGGCATCTCCTGGGGAACTCGGAACACGTCCCTAGAATTGAGACACCGCCCAGATGGGGGTGCTTTCTCTATTGTCTGCTCAGTGCTAAGAGTTAGAGGGGAGAAGAGCTACCTAAATGCTGTGCTCCGAGAAGGTGGGAATTGCAAAGGAATGAGGGGCTCCTAAGAAGGAAAGTTCGCAACTGTACTCGGGTGGACATTCTCAAAAGAGCTTGGTGCTCCTAATCTTGGCTACTTTCCAAGTCCCGGGCTGCTTGCTTTTGCCCCAGGTCTCTGGAGACCAAGCAAGCACGGGCTCATTTGTGTCCTGGTGAGTCTACGTTTGTCATGAAAGCCATGACAGTAAATCTCACAGCGACACCCAGGCGGAGGAGGGCAGATATTGAAATCTACTTCATCCTTGATGATGCAGAGTTAGGGAAATCATTTAATCTCTTTGATCTTTATTTTCTTTTTATTTGGGTTGTTAGGAAAACAAATGAGAATCAGTTAAGAACACAGCTAATAAAACCTGGGAGTGTAATTCTGTACTCGGTTTGTCCTTCAGCAAAGCATTTATTATAAAAAGAAAAACTAGGGCTGGGGGTACAGCTCAGTTGGTAGAGCGCTTGCCTAAACAAGAAACCTCGAATTTGATCACTAACACCACAGAAAGCAGATATGGTGACATTTGTAAGATGGAGCAGGAGCATCAGAAGTTCAAGGTCACCCCTAGCTGTATTGTGAACACAAGGCTTGGTGTATATGAGACCCTGCCACCCTTCCCGAAAACAAAAACAAAACAAAAAGCCACTCGGCACAAAAACTCTAAACTCTGAGTAAAAGTGTGCGATTAGTATTATTCCTGAGTCTGGTCTCTCTGTCTGAATCCTTAATATTATAAATAAAGTGAAGTTTCAACCCCCAGCATTACCTCGCCTGGGTGCCAGCTAGAGAAGGCAGGCTCTCAGCCGACCTCATACCTACTGAGACCCCAGATGAATCAAGTACAGGATTGTTTGAGACAGAGTTTGGCCACCATCTGGTGGCAGTATATTTTAACTGCAAACTGTCCTTTGATGTCAGAAGCTCAATCTAAAAGCTTTTTCATTATTAAACTGTTTGGTTTTGATAGTGGATTAAGCCCACATGCTTTGCGTTCTAAGTAAGCACACATTCATGATTTATATTCCCAGCCCTTTTAATCTTTTTATTTTTATTTATTTTTTAAAAGATTATGCCTGGTAGTGGTGGTACATGCCTTTAATCCCAGCACTTGGGAGGCAGAGGCAGGCAGATCACTGAGTTCGAGGCCAGCCTGGTCTGTAGAGTGAGTTCCGTGACATCCAAGGCTACACAGAGAAACCCTGTCTCAAACCCCCCTGTCGAATTGTAATTACATTTTTCTTACAAGTGTATGTCTATGTGTGCACAATATACGATATTCATATGGAGATCAAAAGGTGACTTGTAGAGATTGGCTCTCTCCTGCCATGTGGGACCTAGAGATTGACCCCAGGTTGCTAGATTGACAGGAAACAGCAATTTTTTAATAATATCTATTTCTATTTTTTTTTATTGGGGATTGAACCTAGGGCTTTGTGCATGCTAGGCAAGCGCTCTGCTGCTGAAGGGTGTCCCCAGCCCTGTGAAAACTTCTATATGTAGAGAAAGGGCCTCCCTACATTGGCTTCATTTCCCACAAGCTATTTTCTGAACAATCCCAAAAGCTTGTTCAGCTTGTTGGGACAGAATGTTATTATTCCACCGAAAGGTCTCTGGTTGTGGTTTGCATGCCTTAAAGACCTTAGGCCAGAGCGGAGTAAACCAATAGCTCCCCAAGCTGTGGAAGCTGAGCTGGAGAGCCTCTATATGGGATGTCTGCCAAAGCAACTGGCTCCTTGGGGCTAACCCAGCTCAGGACTTCATCCCTTCCCAAGCTGCATCTCCGTTAGGCTTCGGGTACTTCAAACAGATTACAAGCAGATTACAAGTCAGCAGAACTCGGGGTACTTGCTGAAGTATGAACAGGGAAAATAGCCACCTATCAGGCCATGAACTGAGGCGATTCCCTCCCGTTTCTGGATGCTTTCTCCTCCTCTCTCCTCAGCTCTCCCTCCATCCTTGTCTCTCTCCCTCCTTCCCCTGCTTTCCTGATTCCCAGCTCCCAGCATTCACATCCTATAATCCAGATACTTAAGACACCCTCTCCATCCATTTGGCTCAACTCCAACCTCAAATTCCTTAAAGGGGACTCTAATTGGCTCAGAAGTCTCCTGTGGGGACATGTGGCTTACCTAAAGCCCAGTGAACATGGGGGAAGGGTCTTAGGAAGGTCCCTGTCAGCAGAATGAGGCTAGCTGTGCCCCCCACCCCGGGACAGGACTCTTCTGTTTCCATCCAAGGGCTCCCCACAATGCCTTTGGCTGATCAACTGCCTGTCACCTACTCCAGCTGGAAGACTTACGCTGAAGGCTGGCCTCGCTGCCTCGACCACGCGACTGTGAAAGACTTGGACCTCAACATCAAGTACTCCGCGGTCAAGAGTGCCAGATTCTACTTTAAAGTTCATTCTGCGTGAGGATGCCACAGTGTTCATTGTCCCCACCTCTATATCCTCTCTTCTATTCAGTTCCCTACCTCAGTATAGATACAGTTCACTCAGCCCTGCTCAAGGCATAGCCTTGCGGGCACTGACCACATCAGGCAGACAGGGGAGGGTCTCCCGGAGCCCTGTGCCTTCTCACACTTCACATGTCCCGTCAGGTTTACAGAGATGAAAATCAAAGGGTTCGTGGACCGCACAGGACTCTGGAGGAGTCTGAGGGAGATGAGAAGGATGTTTAACTTCCACAAGACTCCTGCGGCAGGTGAGGCCCTGGGCCAGGATCTGGACCTCTTTCTGGGACACCAATTCCCATCACTACCAGGAGGCTCATAATGAACGACCACTTCACCTCGTGACTTTAGACAATCTCCTTGTCCTTCCTACTAGACCTTAACATTCCTCCAGAGACAAAAGAAGTGGTAGGCAGAGGGGACCTGACTTAATCCAACAGCTGTCCAGATAACTGTGTCTATGGACACAGGACTCACGGCGAAGTCAGGCTGCAGTTACGAATAAGACTTAAACCACATCATTAGTGTTCCTTGGAAGATTTACTTATTGGCTTCAGAAATGGGTAAAGGAGGAACCCACCCTAGCTTTCAGGGTGCCCTAGAAAGCTCTCATGGGGGTTAGGTGGGTATTAACTCTGAGGGTGAGGCGTAGGGCGGAGAGTGCTCCAGGGCCGGAGGACAGAGAGATGAAGGCCCTGAAGATGGAAGAATAGGACACCCATAAGAGGAAGAAGTGGCTGAGTCCCGTGTGGACTGAGCAAGGGAAGGAAAGTCAGGGAGAAGAAGTTGTGCCCATGCTTCTGTGGACTGCGGCGGGCTGGATGCTCTCCTAGGCACAACGCGAGGCTAGCGACTGGCGGGAGCTGGGGAACAGCGTGACTGGATGTGCACCCCTGGGTGGGTTGGCAGCCTAAGGACAAGCACAGAGATTGGCCATGGGGCTCCAGCTGAGGTCAGCAGGGGGTGGTGGCTTCATCATCACACACGGATGTGGCTGCGTAGCAGTGAAGTGGACAGAAGGGCCAAGAGACACCAAGGATGGAGAGTTCATAGGACTTAGCAGGAAGAAAAGAAGATTGCTTCCTACGGAGTTTCTGGGCTCTGCTACGGACAGTCAAATAGATATACCATGCCATTCCTTGGGATGCCAGGAAGGGGGTGGAGGCTGAGCTGGAGGAAGAATCCACACTTGGGGTGCATTTGAACCTAGTGAGTCACCCGGGATGGGATCGGGGAGGTGACATGATGACGGGCTGAGACTAAGATTTGATCTTTAGTGAACAGGCAGTAACCGAAGCCAAGGGATCAGGAGGCCACTGCAAGGAAGGAAGAGGTCCCCAGGATGGACAAGAGGGATTTCATCATTCAAGGAAGGAGAAAACCCGTGTGAGCTGTGGTGACTAGTCCCCATGTCCCCCACCCTCCTGCAGAGTATGTGTTCGCGCACTGGCAGGAAGACGCCTTCTTTGCCTCCCAGTTCCTAAATGGCCTCAACCCGGTCCTGATCCGCCGCTGTCACAGCCTCCCAAAGAACTTTCCAGTCACTGATGAAATGGTGGCCCCAGTGCTGGGCCCTGGGACCAGTCTGCAGGCTGAACTGGAGGTGGGCATAGACTGCAAGCTCTGCCAACCTACACGAGTTCCTTCGCGCTCATCCCCCTATTAGAGACAGAGGGGACAACTATGTGTTACCTGACAAGAACAGCCTCCCTCAGAATACACTCCCCTGGCAATCGTGGGTCCTCTTCTTTCTGCCTGCCCCCTCCTTTAGAAAGCCAGGTACAGTCATGGCTCCCCTTTCTCCTGCAGAAGGGCTCCCTGTTCTTGGTGGATCATGGCATCCTTTCTGGAGTCCAAACCAATGTCGTCAACGGAAAGCCTCAGTTCTCTGCAGCCCCAATGACCCTGCTATACCAGCGCTCAGGGTCTGGGCCTCTGCTCCCGCTCGCCATCCAGGTCTGTAAGAAGGCAGGAAATGGGGGGTGGGGAGGGTCCCACTGAGTGATTGACAGACACTAACACTGCCTTCCTCCCCGCTGGCCCTACCCACCAGCTCAAACAGACCCCCGGACCTGATAACCCCATCTTCTTGCCCAGCGATGACAAGTGGGACTGGCTACTGGCCAAGACTTGGGTGCGCAACGCCGAGTTTTCTGTCCACGAGGCCCTCACGCATCTGCTGCATGCGCACCTGCTGCCTGAAGTCTTTGCCCTGGCCACGCTGCGGCAGCTGCCCCACTGCCACCCTCTCTTCAAGGTCAGTGGCTCAACAAGTCGGCCCACACCAGGCGTGATGCGCATGCCTTTAATCCTAGCACTTAGAGAGCTGAGGCAGGAGGATCTCTATGAGTTTGGGACCTGCCTGGTCGATATAGCAGAATGTCAGGACAGCCAAGACTACTACATGGAGAGATCCTATTACAAAACAAGGTGGCTCCATCCATAGCCCAGCCTGCAACCAAGTCTGTGGAGCCCTGGGCTTTCTCCTGTACCCTGCAGTGTCTCTTCCTCGTGGTTTTTCCTCAGGTGGTCTTACCCTTCCAGGCTTGGATGCAGGACTCCCACTCTGACTGAAAAACACAGAGTAGGGTCTACAGCCGGGGCCTAGGAGGATATCTAAGCTGAAATCAGAAAGTGTAAGCAGCCACGGACCAGGAAGCCCTGACCTTCTCGGAGATGTCTTAACTTGATGAAAGAAACAAATGTATCCTGTGAAGGCTCCACAGGCCCTGCTCTATGCTCTTCAGTCGGACTGCAGCTCCCAGCACCTGGTTCCCAGACATAGGCGAAGGGGGACAACTCCACATTGCCAGGCCCCAGCCCTGCCCCAGGGATAGGAAATCCCAGGAAGTTTCCAAGGTCCTCATTGGACAAAAAGATCTGATGTTCAGAGGGACAAAAAGGCCTGTCTGAGGACAGAGGACAAGATGCTGTGGGACCTTGCGCCCATATCTGGGCGGGGAGTACCGTCACAAACGACAGCTCCTGGCCTTGCTTGGTCTTTCTGTGCTACTCACAGGGTGGGTGCATTTGTGGGGGTAGGTCTGGGCTTCCCCAACTTTGCCGTCTCCTGCCCCTTGCAGCTGCTGATTCCCCACATTCGGTACACACTACACATCAACACGCTTGCCCGCAAGCTGCTCATTGCCCCTGGGCAGGTGGTGGACAGGGTAAGCAACGCCTTTGGCGGGAGGAAATTCTTCAGTTGGAAGAATCTGGAGTTCTGGGGTGGGAGTGTCTCTGCTTGCCCCTGCTTTTGAAGCAAGGTTCTGATACGCAGGAGTTCTTTCCCTTAGTCCACAGGCCTCGGCATTGGAGGATTCTCCGAGCTGATAAAAAGAAACATGGAGCAGTTGAACTATTCTGTCCTATGCTTCCCTGAAGATATCCGAGCCCGAGACGTGGAGGACATCCCGGGCTACTATTACCGGGATGATGGGATGCAGATCTGGGGGGCGGTAAAGAGGTGAGGGAACCATCCCCAGGAAGCCACAGGGGCAGGGGAGGCAGGTAGACTAGGCAGGAGATGGGATCCCCTGGAGAGGTTTACCGTGAGAAGGGCTGGCATGCATGACACTGGGCAAGGAAGCTTCTCGGCGTGGGTCGAGTTTGGAGCCAGTGACTGAATCCAGCTGCACCTTGCAGCTTTGTCTCTGAGATAGTCAGCATCTACTATCCCAGTGATGTGTCTGTGCGAGAGGACGAAGAGCTGCAGGCCTGGGTGCGGGAGATCTTCTCTGAGGGCTTCCTCAGCCGAGAAAGCTCAGGTACTGGGACCTCAGCCCTTGGGCCCAGCCCCACCCTCTGGCCTCTCTGTGAGGTCCTAAGATCCCCAGCAGCCCCCACCCCAGCCCAGCTTTCCCACAGGTATGCCCTCCTTGTTGGATACCCAAGAAGCCCTGGTCCAGTATGTCACCATGGTGATATTCACCTGTTCAGCCAAGCACACAGCTGTCAGTGCAGGCCAGGTAAGGGAAGGTCCGGGCGAAAGGCATGGCCATGGAAGGGCCAGAGTCTTGTTCTCATTTTGTCCTCTCTGCCTTCAGTTTGACTCCTGTGTTTGGATGCCCAACCTGCCACCTACCATGCAGCTACCGCCACCTACTTCCAAAGGCCAGGCTCAGCCTGAGAGTTTCATAGCCACTCTCCCGCCAGTCAATGCCACATGTGACGTCATCATTGCCCTCTGGATGCTAAGCAAGGATCCCGGAGACGGAGTAAGTGTGGAGGTAGGGGGCAGGGCAGGTCAGGCTGGATAGGGAGTATGTGTTGTTTACCCTCCCGGGGTAAACATTGAGCCCCCACCACACTTGCACCTCACTAGAAGGGAAGACGACAGGTGACCCTTGGCCATCTCACAGTAAGGGTCAAGTGTCCAAACCAGATGACAAAATCTGAGAGTCACTACACTCTCAGCAGCGACAGTAACATGGCACTAATGTTCCTTTAAATATTCAGATTAAATGGTCAAAGAACTTACAGATCACTGTCACTGGGGAAAATGTTTAGGAAAGGGACAGGGAGAGGCTCAACCAAAGAGCGTGCAAGGTGACTGGGTCGGGGACAAGCTGTGGCTATAGGCAGCTCAGGTGGGTTTCAGCTGCTCAGAAGGTGGGGACCTCAACGGCTCGACCCTGTGATTGGTCCCCAGAGGCCTCTTGGCCACTATCCAGATGAACACTTCACAGAGGATGCCCCACGGCGAAGTATGGCTGCCTTCCAGAGACAGCTGATCCAGATCTCTAAGGGTATTGCGGAGCGGAACCGAGGCCTGGCACTGCCCTATACCTACCTGGACCCTCCTCTCATTGAGAACAGCGTCTCTATCTAAAATCCTGGAGAAGAGGGTTCCATGCCACCTACAGACCCCTTGACCATATCACTCCAAGCGGAGTGTCACCCAGAGAAAAGTGTCTTTCAAAATGTACGGGTCCCCACAGCCAGGCCCCATCTAACTCACCTGTGAACACATCTACACAACTAATAAAACCAAGGCAGACAAGTCTAAACTCCTCAGAAGACAGGACCTCACAGGACAGGGATACTGAAATGTTTGGAGACACCGAGGCTCAGCTCTGATGAAGGGCTTTGTGAGTTTGCTTTGCTTGCGTCCCATTAACCATGAACTGTCACACAAGCATAGAATCCTGTCCTACTGCCCACAGTCAGTGAGACCTCACAGTCATCACCTCGGACAGGCTTCTCAACAAAACAGGAAGCAGCCCAAACAAAACCTATCAAGAGATCCATTGTCACCTACAGGCTGGCCTTAAAAATGAATAGAACACTGAGAAGGTGTTACCAAGAGGTAGATTGTCACCTACAGGCTCACCTTGAATAGAACACTGAGAAGGGGTTATTGGAGGTCAGGCGCAAAGACAAGGATGGGCTGAACACAAGGCTCTGTGGTTAAGAGCACTGACTGCTCTTCCAGAGGACCAGGATGGCTCATAACTGTGTGTAATTACAATTCCATGGAATCAAACACCCTTTTCTGGCCACCAGGCATGCAGGCATAATGTCCATATACATAAAAATTAGGTTTGGGGTTTTTGTTCTTAAAAGAGGAGGGAAGACTACCAGGGCCATTTCTAGCCCACCACTTCTCCAAGCCTCCCCCAAAATGAACTGGAAAGTAGGTCCCGTTTCCAGAGAATTAGGAATATGAACAGACCTCTAATGCTTTGCCCTCGAAATTCCATCTTCATTCTGGATTCCCAATATTTCATGCACACTCTCTGGTTCTGGTTGTTTGTTTGTTTGCCTTTTTTGTTGTTTTTTTTTTCTGGCTCAGACTCTGAACATTATAAAGTAACAAATGAGTCACTTTGAAGTCACCTGACTTTCATCTCTTATGTTACAGGCATCAAAGTTTTGGGTCTTCGGTTTCATACAATTTTATGAAACAGTACTCAAAATGTAACATTTACACTTGGGCTGGGTGGTCTAGGGGTTAAGAGCACTTGCTGCTCTTCCAGAAAACCCAGGTTCACTTGGTTCAGTTCCCAGCACCCATGTCAGGGGGAACCATCTGTAACTCCAGCTCCAGAGGAGCTGATGCCCTCTTCTGGCCTTGACAGGCATAGTACTCCTGTACACATACATAAATTATATATATATATGCATATACATATGTATATATATAAATGTATTATAATATTTATATGTGTACACTATTTACATAAACCCAGTCATTGCATCCAGTAGACCCAGCTTCAGAAAGGGTCGTGTGCTCTACCAGACAGCCTTAAATTGTTCCTTCTCCATTGATAACCCTTTGCCAAGAGTTATTTAGAGTTATGCCTCTTTCATACCATTTTAGTTTCTGTCGATAAGCAAGTCCTGGGGGCAGGAGAGATGGCTCCGTGGTTAAGAGGGTGTGCTGCTCCTCCAGAGTTTGGTTCCCAGCATCCACATCAAGTGGCTCACATCTGCCTGCAACCCTAGCACCAAGCATATTCGATCTCTGGCTTCCACGGGCACTTGGACTCACACGAACATACCAGTGTGCAGACACACATCCCTACACGTGCTTATAAAAAGTAAAAATCAAACCTTTAAAAATAAATGAACAATTCCTGATTACTTAAGCCAAGCTGTGGGGAGGGGAGGTGGAGCGGGGAGGAAACTAAGTGGCTTTGAGTGTGAAGCAGTTAAACCCTGCAGTTTCAGGTAAGGATAGAAATTCAGCAAGCAGCTGGGGGCACAAAAGTCGAAGCACACTCTCCTTGGCCTTGCAGTGGGAAGAGGGAAACTCCTGTTGACTTCTTCCTTTCCTGTATTTGCCTCAGGATTCCAAGTTCTTAAAGGGGGATGTTTTGCCAACCTTGAGTGCCAGAAACCCAAGATGAGGTTGCGCACACTAAGAACTGTGAGATCATCCCAAAATTTCCCAGCCTTGGGTTAGGTTGGGGCCGTGTGACTGAGTCTGGCCAATGGACTATGAGAGGAAGAAATCCAGGTTGCTTCCAAGAGTAGCAGTTTCAAGCTGAGGCACCCCCCTGCTATTTTGGATCCGAGGCTGCTTTGCAGGCATGTTGCGTGAATTCCAACTTTACCTCTGTCACCATAAGCTTGGGAGGCATGGTGGTCAGTACGGCAATAATTTTCAATCCTTCTAGTGAGTTTCTTAAAGGTGGAAACTAGAACTTATTCGATTTTAGATGTCATAGGCCCAGAAACATTCAACCACTGTTTGATGATGGTGATGATGATGATGATGATGATGATGATGATGATGATAAATAAATAACTGGATGGATAGCTGGTAAAGACGAATAGTCTCAGGGCTGAGGTTCAAGGAGAACACTGAGATTGTCCCTTTGGGTAAGATATTTGTTAGGAGAATTCTTAATGGTTTGGACAGACAGTCACAAGGTGGGGGCTCTGAGGAGAGTTCAAGCCCCATACCATCAACAGCAAGATGGGGACTTTGATGAAAACACCGTCCCATGGGGCAGAGTGAGGGTCCCTTCTTACAGGCCTCAGGAGGAAGGGAGGGGTTTTATGCAGCCAGGCTGTCTGTGGCTCCTGAGGCAATGGGGTGGGGGGAATTCCAGGTAGGGATGTACAACACTGAGCACAGGAAGCGAGGAGGAGGGACACATCCGGTTGAGGTGTACTCACGAAATGAGAAGGGGGGAAGGGGATGTATCACCACTGCCACCAACAGCCCTCGGATATCCCAGGGAGTCCGGCAACCTGAGTTCTGTAAGTTTCCTTGGAGAAGTGAGACTGAAAGTACTTGCCATTCTCTGGAATCTGGAACCCTGGTTCTTTCCTGACTCATGGACAGGCTCTTAGGAGGGGCTTGCCTTTCCTCTGTAGCAGCTGTCAGAAAGAGGCTGCAGGTGGGCGTGGCCACAACCTCCCATACCCTCAAACCTAACCTGGGCACATGGATGAACTTGTGAGCTGGGGCGCTACTGTGCTCCAATTATAAATAAAGAGATTGTTTTGATGTTTGTCTTTTAAGTGTGTGTGTGTGTGTGTGTGTGTGTGTGTGTGTGTGTGTGTGCGTGTGTGTGTGCATTTCAAGACACAGTTTCTCTGTGTTGCCCTGGCTATCCTGGAACTCACAGAGATCCACCGTCTCTCTGCCTCCGAGTGCTGGGATTAAAGGTGTGTGCCATCACTACCTTTAACTTATAATAAAATTATATATTTTAATCATGTGTATATGAGTATGTTGTTTGTACACCTAAGTGCAGTGCCCAAAGAAACCAGAAGAGGGCATCAGGTCCTCAGGAGCTGGAGTTACAGTGTTGGCTTGTAGCCACCAGACATAGGTTCTATAGAAGAGAGCAAGTGCCATCACTCTAGCCCCTCAGCATATGTCTTTTGGGGTAAATTATCATCTATGAGAAGGAAAGAATCCAGTGCATCTTGGCTGTAGGAATCCAGGCAGGCAGCGTCCACACAAGCTTGAAGAAGCCACCGATGCCTTCAGTGCAGGCCCTGTGAGGCTGTGGGCCCTGTTATAACAGCAGTGGAGGAATTTTAAAAAACAAAACAAAACAGAAAAGGCTGGCTTTGTCCCAACTGTCTTCAAAAACAACTCATTTTGGAGGACACATAGCTTTGCAATGCATTAGTAGGCTCCCACTAGCTTGCTGTGGAGAAGACCTTTGCCATGTGTGCTAGGTAGACTCGAGCTTGGGGCATCAGAGAAGGGGACTGGCAACTGAGAAGATGCTCCCATCAAACTGGCCTGTAGGCAAGTCTGTGTGCATTTTCTTGCTTAGGAACTGATGTGGGAGGGCCCAGTCCACTCCCGGTGGCATCATCCCTAGGCAGATGGTCCTGGATGGAACAAGAAATGCAGTTGAGAGGCTAGAGAGTTGGCTAAGAGGTTAGAAGTACTTTTTGCATTTGAAAATGCCTGGGGTCTGAGTCCTAGCACCCAGGTGATGGCTCACACCTTTCTGTAACTCTAGGCCCAGGGGATTCAACACCCTATTCTGACCTCAGCAGGCACGAGTCACACATGTGGTGCACAAACATACATGCAGGGAAGAGACACATACAAATGAATCTTTTGAAGGGCAAGCTGATTGGGGCCTGGAGAATAAGCTTCCTCCCTGGTCTCTTCGTCGGCCCTGGCCTCTGAGTTCCTGCCTGAGCTCCTGTCCTGGCTTCCCTCAGTGAGGGACTGTAATGTGGAAGTGTGAGGTGAAAACCACTTTCCTCCCTGAGCCGCTTTTTAGTGTGGCATTGTTCACAGCAACAGGAAGCAAATGAGGACGCCATGGTAATTGTTGACTAAACTGTCTTTCAGGGGCCCGTAGCCACTTCAGCTGCTGGTAGTGAAACTTTATTGGGCCCTTTATTTACATCTGCTCAAGGGGTGACTGGAACAGGTGAGACAGGTTAGCATCTCTGCCTTCATACTGTGTGTGTCTTCTTTGTTGTCTTAACCTACACTCAGATTCCAGTCAATGCTGAGTATACACACAATGATCATTTGAGAAATGTTTGCCCAAGGTGAATTCGGGCGAAGCTTGACCTAGCTCTGTCTTATCCCTCTCTTCCCAGGTCAAGGCTGACAAAGCATCCCATCGATCAGCTGCCAAGACAGGAAACAAGAAACCGCAGGAAGGAGCAAAATGAGATGGTACCCAAGTTCCCGGGAGATCAGCACCTAGCTCCAGGAAGTACGAGAATATTCCTCAACTTTATTAGCCTTTTCTCTCACATCATTCCTCACTCCATGGCCATGAGACAATTTCTCTGCAGTTCAGAGTCCGGTTTGTTCTTTAGATTTATTTTTTTCTCTTATTTACACGTATATGCCACAGCTGTGCTTGCTTAGCAGACCAGAGGGGTGCCAGGTCCTCTGGAACTGCAGCTATCGGCAGTGGTGAGCCTCCTGTGTGCTGGGAACTGAACTCAGGTCCTCTGAAGGAATACTATGTGCTCTTAACCACGGAGCCATCTATCTCTCCAGAGTCTGTCTGGAAGAAAAGTTTCCATGTCTCCATTCTTTGGTCATTCAAAAAAGTCTTTCTTTTCTCATTTTTTTCTTAGACATTGATTTCTCCATGGTATAAATTTCTGGACCTGAGTTCAGTCACACTAAATCGCTTATAAACACACACAACACAACACAGATACTCCTTGGGCTCTTGGCCATGGGAGAAAAGAAGGTTGTTACAGCTAACATTTGCCCAAGGAAATGATGAGTTAACTTTTCAAATTAGTGAGCCCACAGGAATAAAGCTATTCTAAAGAGACTGGTGCCCTCCTTTTGACTGTCAGACAATTGAAATAATGGTACCAAAGGAATTTCTGATTCCCCAGGAATCTCACACTGGGAGAAGGAAAGGGCTGGAAACTTGGTGCAGCCAGAAGAGGAACTTGTCTACCAGGAAGAGACTGCACACAGTCTGACAGCTTTATCAGACCACCTTGCAAGAAAGACGGAGCTGAGACAATGAAGGTGAGAAGGACCACTGGACCAGGACTGCGCAGGTATGTTGCTCCTTGCCCTCCGTTTAAACCTGAACCTCGTCAGGACGCCAAAGATGGACTTGGAGCAGCGCTTGCCCCATTCATTCATTCTCTTCCCAACGTGCCACAGTGGAGATGTAAATCACCCCCTCCCTGAGATCATTTACTTCATTGTATAAGACAGGGTCTCTCTATGTAGCCCTGGCTGTCCGACACTTACTGTGTAGACCAGTGTCTGCCCCCAGAGGGCTGGACTTAAAG